CATGGAGAGTTTTACAATTCGGTTGGACAAAAAGGCTAATCATCGAGGAAGTGGATTTTGTAAAAATAAAACATGTAAAAACCAAATAATACTCTAGTTACTTTTAAAACCAATAAAAGAAAAATCCCTCTTATAATATGCTAATGTAATTTAATGTAATACATCAAAATACAATATAAAAAGACAGCTGTTTTTTCTACATAAAATCCTTATATAGAAAATATTTTATTATAAAATGTGTTATTAGAACAATATCAATTAATAATTATGTAAAACAAGTAGTACAAAAAGCTATCTTATTTATCTTAATACATATTACATCTATTAATCACCTTTTACTTTTTGGAACCTGTGAATAACCAATTATATGATGAAACCATTCCAGAAGCTATCATACCAGATCCGCTTTTTAGAACTTTTGTAATGGTTTCTGAACTCGGCAAGTTGTTTAGCACCGGCTTAATAAACTGATCCGCTGGCATTCTACAAAGAAATTTTAGTTATTAAATAAAATTAGCCTCATACCGCACATAAAAAGCATAGACAAGCGGCAAATTGCTGCCATATCAGTAGGTACTCAAGATATCAGTTTATTAACTCATTAAATTGATAATACTTGAAAACAAATGCAAATTATTTTTAATAAATAACTAGAGGAATAATTGAATGGATGATGTTATTATAATAAATTATTTTTTTAGATGCACTCACTTGCAGTTAAGTTGGCACCATATAAGAGAGTTTTTAAGCCACTTATTTCAGTAACGTTAAACATACGTTATTCTGCTCATGCGCATTAATAGAAAAATAACGGATTACTTTATTAGCGGATAAGGTATTCCCTTATTTAGGTAAAGATAAGGTTAACGTTATTAAGGGATTACGTGTTTGTAATGTTGTCAACTGCCAGATATCTAAATCATAAAAAACAAAAAAAAGTCATATGAGCAGCTGTCTTTCCTTGTCTTAGAGCAGAACCAAAGATAACTAGAATAAAAAATATAGAAAATTTAGTTCAGCATCTTTCTCTTCAATTGTTTCCAACACAAAATGTAGTCTTGGTGCAACAGGTATTATATGATCAAAAATATTGTGAAGAATTAAGCCTCTTATCAAATTGTAATCTATTACTTCTCTGTGTCTTCATCGTCTATTTTCTTAGATTATAGCAAATTATTCAAATAAAATAGGTTATAGACTATAACGTGGTAAAACTGCCGTTTATAGATTACGTTCGTCAAATGTCAATTAACGTTAGTCGGTCACAGCTTAATTTCTGAAAGGATTCAAAAACTATTTTAAGTAAAAACGTTATCCCTTATTTATTATTCAAGGCGCATGACAAGTATAACGTTTTACGTTTAACGTCCATCGAAAAGTAAAGGGCCTAAAAACTCTCTATAGACTTAGAGGAAATGGTAACATTTCCTGGAAAATATATTATGTGCCCAACCTAACGTTAGCGCCATCTCTCGGAAAATTTTAGAACCAAATAATTAATGTGGATTACAGCTGTATCAACTTATTTTCAGATAAACTAAGGCTTAAAAATAGTAGGTTCAAATCTCAGTAGACAAAATTATTTAATTTTCTAACTATTTCGAACTAATTCAATAATATTTTTCTTGCCCAGTTTACTTACCTGAAGCCAGTATTTCCAAAGATGTTGAAATGAAGATCTATTTTAGGATTAAAATGAAAGTGGTTGTGAATTGAATCATTTTTAGAATTCTTCGTCATAGTATGGTTAAAATAATTTACCACGTTATACAAGAACTTATTCTGTGCATATACTTAATTTTAAATGCACTAAAAACGTTAAACTGACAGAACACAATAAACCAGTCATAAACAAGTACATTAATCTATCTTTATCTAATCTTATATCTTATAATATGTCGTACAGTGTTGCGAGATTTTCAGAAATTTCAACTCCAAGGTTGATGTTTTAGAAATTCTAAATACAAGTGGTTTTTACTTTGAAAAATGATATTTTATAGATACATAATATGTAGAATCATTAGGGACCTTTGGAATGATGAAAATATCCCTAATGATTGGAAAACCGGGATTATATGCCAATCTATATGAAAAAGAGATAAACTGAAATACGAAAATTATCATGGCATAACCCTCTTGTGACGGCGTACAAAATTTTTACCTACATACTAAACAAACGACTCCAACAACTAACTGAAAATATTGTCGGGGAATATCAAACCGGTTTCCGACAAATAAGATCTACAACTGACCAACTGTTCACAGTGAAACAAATTTTAAACAAATCGTGGGAATACGACATTGACGTTCACAACATGTTCATAGATTTTAAACAAGCCTACGACTCAATTAATAGGAACAAGTTATATAAAATATTGCAGAGCTTTAATCTCCCCTAAAAATACATCCAACTGGTAAAAACAACAATGGATTCGTCAATAGCAGCTGTCAGGGTCCAAAATGAGCTCGCTGAAAACTTTACAATAGTCCAAGGATTAAAGCAAGGAGACGGGCTGGCACCGACACTCTTCAACCTGATCTTGGAATATGTGATAAGACAGCTGAATATAGGAAGAGGTAATTTCCTAACAAATAAATCAATACAGATTGCCGCCTATGCCGATGATATCAGCATCATGTCTCGCAGAACAGAAGAGGCGGCAGAAATATATTCACAATTAAAAACAAACGCAAAAGAGACCGGACTAGAAATAAATATTCAAAAGACAAAAAAGTTAACACAGGCAAGAGCTAGGGGACACAGACGCATAGTTGAATTAGAAGACGATATTGAAACGGTAGAAAGTTTCACATATTTAGAAGATGCATTAAACACGGATGGAACAGAAGAACCAGAAATCCAAAGAAGAATAGTAAAGAGAAACAAAGCTCTTTTTCACTCGATCATGCGTTACGCTCCAAAAACCCACACCGGAGATCGAAAATCTTTTTTCTCAAAAGCAGTGTCTTACTACCTTCAGTAGCTGCTCTATTTTGTGCTCAAAATTTGTTATAAATATGTGTAGTTATGAACAAGAGCAAGTAAGGTTAGTAAGATTCTCGGAAGAGATACAACGCGATGAAGATGAGTCTATTTCTGATTCCGAAGGCTAAGTGCAGCTTGACAATGTTAGTAAAAGTTCCCATGCCACAGACACAGAACGTATCTAGCAGACGCCGAATCTAGCACTCTTTCTCTCTGCAGAGAGAAAGAGTGCTAGATTCGGCGTGACCACAGAAGTTCAGCAGGATCTTTTTAGTGTTCCGCATAACGTCTCTCTAGCCCACTGTGTTGCCCAAGATCTTGAGACCACTATGGGAATCTCATTCGTATTTTTTAAGAAGTTCGGTCGTTTGGACGAGTTAAAAAATCAGCAGCTTAAAGTTGGGAAAGTACTGAGATTAGAAGATTGTCTTCGATCTTTGCTGTATGTGGTGATCAGGAAGTCGTATACAGACAGGACAACCTACGAGGATATATGGCGTGCTCTAACTAATTTGAAGAAAATCGTCTGCAATTACGACATCAAGTATTTGGCCTTACCCAAGATAGGCCATGCACTAGATAATCTGGATTGGAAGATTGTCAGAAGCATGCTTGAAGTGATCTTCCGAGAAACCGGCGCGGCGTAAAAATTACTGTGTGTTGCATTAATCCGAAGAGATCGTGTCTGTAGTGGCTGTTCAAAGACAGTAAACTGTTACTTCTTTATGAGTGGTTCATGCAGAGCTGGAGAGTCATGTAGATTCCGCCATCCTGGGCCTACATATAGAGTTGCTGATCGGGACGCTCAGATCTAAGAGGGGAGCAGTGTTACGAACATGCGACTAGAAGTTTCCGATGATATCGAGTGCGAGAGAGAACGCCCGTCACGTAGGCGAATTAGAGGTGGGCTACTTCAGAATGTTCTAGAATATAGTAACTTTGGTATATATATATATATATATATATATATATATATATATATATATATATATATATGTAACGATGTTAGAGTTGAGTTTAGTTTTTAAGATATTACCGAACTGTAAAATTATAAATAAATATATTTATATAAATTGGCTCGTTTTATTTAATCTCGCTACAATACAAAGAATCGAGGACAGTATTCAATATTTTTTGGTTACCCAAAAAAATGCAATCTTAGTATCCTATATCCCAAAAATGTTCTTTTGTTATCAACACTACATTATGATGACACAATGGACCCGTCTACAGGAAACGCTAGGAAGCCAGAAATAATCGCATTCTACAATGTTACTAAGGAAGGAGTTGACACTGTTGACCAGTTATCAGGTACATACGACGTTTTGAGTAACATCAGAAGGTGGCCGTTGACCGCGTTCAATGCGCTCTTGAATATGTCTGGAATTAACTCTCAAGTAATCTATAAAATCAACAATAATGACTATACATTGAACCGTTGAAAATATTTGAAATATCTTAGTTTGTCACTGATAGCAGATTAAAAGGATTAAAAGGGCTATAAGACTGCAAATTGTGATGAACGTCAAAAATGCAAGGTAGATGTGTGGTGTGATCAGAACAAGAGACAAAAAAAGTCAGTACGTGTATTATTATTGCAGGCATTTTGTTTGTTTACAACATACTTACATGTTTCAAATGCGATTGAGGTGATACTACTTTTCAATTTTTTTAATAGTGTGAACTATTTTAAATGAAAATTATATAGGTAATTACTTTTGGTGCAGATACTTAAGTATTGAGTTTTCCAAGACGTATTTTCCTATAGGGTATGTCAGACCCCACCACGCCGGGCATGCACGTTTTAGGCACCACACAGGATTAATTTACAATAAATGTTCTCATTGACCGTTCGTTTTTTTCTATTTACTGAAAGAATTATATAAGTAGTATTATCAACTGTTGATCACACAAACTTATAAACGGTTAAACAAATTATATTAAATATGAAAATTTGAAAATTATTTATAAAAACGCTCTTAATTTGAAACAACTAATATACTTCTTGTTGCAGGAATTTCATGTCGCCTACGTTTACATCAAAATGGCTAACTCACCTAGACCCGGTTTATGGATTTTAGAAAAATCGGCTGATTATGGAAAAACGTTCACTCCTTGGCAATACTTTTCTGATTCGCCGTCGGATTGTGAGACTTTCTTCGGAAAAGAGAGCTTGGCGCCTATTGCTAAAGATAATTCTGTTATATGTACAACAGAGTATTCCAAGATCGTTCCTTTAGAAGGAGGAGAGGTAAGAGATAACATCACTTTAATATTATGCCACAATAAAAATTATAAAAACCTAAAACTATAGTTAGTTAGATATATAAGAGGAAAATTTTCAACTAAAACTAAGCTGTTATTTCTTATATGTCACATGACTTGACATAAATAGCCTGTTTTAAAATCTTACTCTCCTTCTAAGAACTTGCTTCTTTCTCTTCCTTGCAAGAGTCCAAGTTTCTGCCCCATAGCAGAACTTTACGTTTGTTATGCAGTTGTTATATCTCTTCTTTGATCCAATGGATACCCAAATTGGAGCAGTGTTTGAAGCAGTGTTTGAATTCATAACCGTCTAGACATTTCTGTATGGCTTTTAGGGATGTCTCATATTACGTCAGTTTTCAATATATTCAGTTTTATTAACAATATCTTTAGCCCATGTTCTGAGCAGCTCTTTTAATGTCAGTATAACTTTCTTCCAAGGCGTTTATAGTACTTCCTACAACGATTATATCATCAGCATAAGTAAGGTATTAAATTCAGCCTGTTAAAGAATGTGCAACCTGGTTTACCCAGAACTCATCTCAGGTCATTTATGATTAGATGTAATTTCAAATCAGTAATATTGTACCTAACCTTTTGCTCAATTCAAAAACATTTTGTGATGGCACTTCATGCCACGTTCTTCTAGAAACTTCTGTATTGGTAAAATTGCCTGGTTAATGTGCCTAGGTTGAAGCCCCAAATGTCGGCAATTCAACAAGAATTGTCTGCGATTTTTCTCTTTTGCTAGTTTTCGGTTTATGTTTGCTCATCTCTTGAGATTTTCTACAGCGAACACATATCTTAATGCCGCCAATTCACTGCACTGTCAAGTGTCTTTTACTGAAGTTAAAAAAGTTTCACATTGTACCTAGCAATGAAGCTTTCAAAGTTTATAATATTATAATATTAAGTTTTTTAAAGTGTCCTGTGATAATGCTATTGTTATTCATTGTTTAAACCAGTGTTTGTTCAAAAAATTGTAACTCCACCTATGGTGTTATGTTTGTTTTTTTTTTCGAGGATTTTTTTTACAAACCATTTCAATCTAATGGCCGGCAATCTCAAATTTGTACGTTAAATCGTTACTTATATATAATGTAACTAAACATAAACTTTTTAGCTATCCCTGAGGATGGTATAAAGCGTACCGAAATATATTTGATTACTCTTGGGATTTATTAATTCAGCTGCATACCCATTAATCCCTTCTTTTATATATATATATATATATATATATATATATATATATATATATATATATATTAAAGAAATTTAATCTTTGCAGATAAGTTAAATAGTAAACTCTTGAATATTGGGGAAATCTGCAAGAAAAAATTTTCTTGCAGATTTCCCCAATATTTAAGAGTTTACTATATATATATATATATATATATATATATATATATATATATATATATATATATATATATATACACACTTCATCTAATTTATATAACGATGCACGTCATCGGCGTCATAGCCTGTGACGTTACATGATACCAACACAAAATATTTAGGGTGTAGGTGTGTTCTTTTTTAGAATCACTTTACCGAGTACTCTGGCATTACCGCCACTAGACATATTTTATTATATACGCGTAGAAATAATATTTAAAAATTTCTATTAATGTTAACTTAAGAAATACACAATAATATGTTTCATTTAATTTGTATAAATGCATTATAAAGCGTTTTTATCAAGAACATTTGTTCGGAACACACTGTAACTGTAATCGAACAAAGCTAGAATTTTGGCATAAATTGGTAACACTTATTTGACAGTTGCGGTGTTGACACTTTTTGTACTTCATTATTTTGAATTTTAAAGTGAATATCTCTTGTTTTATATTTTTAACTATTTAATAAAATCTGTTCTTTTTAGAACAAAATTAGTGTGTTTTATTTCAAAAGTGTCACGTAAGAATTTAAATAGTCGTTATAAAGAGATGGTAATACTTTTGCAATAATTATGTAATCTATTTGATTTAAAATGGGGTCAGGATTTTTTTATACTTTGGCAACTATGTCAACTTCGATCTCTGAAGTAGATAATGACGTAAGTCGTTATCTAAATTAGATGAAGTATATATATGTAGTAACATGGTTTATGTCTTGTTTTTGTTATTTATTGTAGATACCAATCTCGCTGCTGAAGAAGAGACCTTCTGCCAATCACTATTTTAACTCCTCGGTACTTCAAGAATGGACAAGAGCTACTAACGTACGTTTAAGGTTCCTTAGAACTAAGAACTTACTAGGACATCTTATGTCTGTGGCTCGACAGGATCCTACCGTTACGAGAAGAGTAAGTGTTAACATAATAAAAAAAAATCAATATTGTATGTATCGCAAACGAAATTTATTAAATTAAGTAAGAAAAACAAGAAATAATTGAAAAAATGGTCAAAGGTGGTAAGAGCGATGAGAGTCGGCAAAGTTAAAGTAGAACAAATATCAAAATGGGCAAAAAGAAGAATGTAATGTGACCTATTTGTTCGACAGTACTCTATATTAGCGATGTCGGGAATCTTGATACTGAAAAGTTAGATAGATGGAAAGAAAGATACTTTGATTGGTATAGGGATTTAAAATGATAAATAATAAAATATCGCAATTAAGTATATGGACCAGCAAAATAATAACACTTACATAATAATTCATTGACACTGAAGCTGACAGACCAATATAACTGGCTGTGAAAGGCTGAAAAATATCTACCACGAGATAGGAAGTAGTGCGCGAAAATTATTGAAACCGTGGGTTTCGATGGCCTGTTGAGCTGATGTACATATATATTTGACCAGATTTGTGAACCACAATTGAAATACGAATGAAAATTGTAACTTCATCAAATCATCATAAAAGATTTTTATTGTCTTTATTAAATTTAATTTTCTTTTTCTTATCGTTAATCATCCTATTTTTTAGTATTTCTATTCCATCAAAGAAATAAGCATAGGAGGTCGTTGCATGTGTAATGGACACGCAGATGCCTGCGATATTCCGGATCGGCAAGACAACAGGGTCCTGTTGTGTAACTGTAAACATAATACCTGCGGAGCCAAATGTAATACTTGCTGTCCAGGATTCGAACAAAAAGCCTGGAAACAATCGAAACACAATGCTCCTTTTATTTGTGAACGTAAGTACCTATTTTATAGATCCTATTTAAATACTCAGGAATTAAGAAAAATTATTAATTAATATATTAACATGAATCTTACTTGAGTTCGAAAACCGAAATGCAAAAAAATGGATAGAAAGTTTAGAAGCTTGAAAAAGTAAGCAAAAAATAAGAAAATGAAAATATTAAAAATGGTAGTACTGGTGCTAAACCAGTGAAATTAGTTGCTTTCGATACATTATCGTTTGTTTTTATTTATCATTATTGAAAACTTTTTAAAATAAGCTTACCAGACTTACTTCTAGACTTATGCTATCTAAAGTTTCACGCATGTTTGAGTAAGGCCGAATCCACATTCTTTTTTTCTGTAAATTTTTTTAACACTACATAAGCCGCTGCGACGCATATGATTTTGTCATCCATTGTTACCTGATTCTATTACCCGTTTACGAACAAATTTACGGGCCGTACTGTTGCTGGCAATGTTGCTGAGATATAAATGGCTGCGCCAGTGTTACCAATATTGGAGCCAGAGATTGCACATAGTTAAAATATTTCTCGTTTAGAGTTTTGAGTTGAATTTTCCTAAAATTATATTAGTGCTTCGATAGGCTGCGCAAAAAGTTGCAAAGGACCGCAGGTCGCAGGGCGATCCGTGTTCTATTATATTCTTTTTAGCTTCTGTGTGATTAATTTATAATACCGTATTTTGTTTTAACATAAGTTTTGTTTTACGGCTTTTAGTTTTCAACTTTTGAATTAGAATTCATAACAGTAGATAGGTTCATAGTTTTAATTTTTTTCTAGGTTGCAACTGTTTTGGCCACAGCGATGAATGTGAATATGATCCAGAAGTGGATATGAAACATCTGTCACTCGATATTCATGGCAGATACGATGGTGGTGGAAAGTGTAAAAATTGTAGAGACTTTACAGAAGGAATTAACTGCAATAAATGCCAAGATAGGTTTTTCAGGCCTTACAATAAGCAATGGAACGAAACTGATGTATGTCAACGTAAGTATTACTTTAGATGTCATCTTTTATTTTCAGTTCTGACTATAATTTGCTACCAATACTTGTCGAAAACTTACTCACTCGGTATTAGACTACTTTTCTACTCTACCTTATTTATTTTTAATTAATTTACTTTTAGCATGTCAGTGCGACATTTTTTACTCCACCGGCAACTGCGCAGAGGGATCAGGAAGATGTGAGTGCAGAAAAGAATTCGTACCACCAAATTGCGACAGCTGTAGTTTCGGCTATTACGGTTATCCTAATTGCAAACCTTGTGAATGCTATCTCAATGGAACCTTAGAACTACAGTGCGCTCCATCTCAAGGAGAATGTACCTGCAAATCCAATTTTGGAGGAAAATATTGCAAAGAATGTGCTCCTGGATTTTTCAACTTCTCTCAATGTACAGGTTAGTATAGGTTATAACGGAAATGTTCTTATAGCCAAATTGCTAAAATCTAATCAAAAATTCTATTTTTACAGATATATCGTTTCATTTTAAAGAATTTTCTTTATATTATAGAAGACAATTTCTGCTTTTTTATTGCTGTTTTACACTTGAGCAGAGACAGAGAACAGAATCACAGAGGTCAGTCAGAGATACGGACTTTCACTTAACACTAAGAAAACAAAATGCATGATGATCTCTAAGAAGGAACAGCAATTTGGACAAATCAGTGTAAACGGTCAACAAATAGAAAGAGTAAAAACATACACCTACCTTGGTACGAACGTTAATGAAAGTTGGGACCATTCCATAGAAATCAAATGTAGAATAGAAAAAGCAAGATCTGCATCTCAAAAAATGGCTAAGTTATTCAAATGTCATGATTTATCAATGCCCATAAAAATCAGGTTACTACGATGTTACATCTTTCCTATACTGTTGTACGGAGTTGAGTCATGGACTGTCACACACGCCACCTGCAAGAAAAATGAGGCTTTTGAAATGTGGCTTTATCGTCGCAGCCTGAAGATATCGTATACCGACCACGTTACTAATGAGGGTGTTCTGTTGAGAATGAAAAAAGAAAAAGAGCTGTTAACCACAATAAAAACAGCCAAAATCGAATACCTCGGTCACATCATGAGGAACAGCGAAAGATATGGACTGCTGCAACTAATCTTGCAGGGAAAAGTAGAAGGAAAACGGGGACCAGGAAGGCGAAGGATTTCCTGGCTGAAAAATCTAAGAACGTTATTCAACACAACAACCACAAATCTTTTTAGAGCAGCAGTGTGCAAAGTGCAGATTGCCATGATGGTCGCCAACATCCGAAACGGATAGGCACTACAAGAAGAAGACACTTGAGCCCTGTTTTTATCAGAAAATTCGATGAAGAATAATGCTATATGTGCTTTTCATCATCATTAGCCATTTTGCGTCCACTGCTGAACATAGGCCTCCCGTAAATAATTCCATTGCATCCGATCTTGAGCAACTTGAATCCAGTTAGACTGGATGCGCTTTAAATCGTCCGACCACCTTGTTGGAGGACGTCCTCGACTACGATAAGCATCGTGTCTAGGCCTCCACTCTAAAATTTTCTTTGTCCATCTTCCATCTCTGACCCTAGCAACATGTCCTGCCCAGTCCCATTTCAGGGTTGTAATTCTTTCAACTGCGTCCGTCACACCAGTTTTTCTCCTTACTATCTGACTCGAAACTCTGTCCCTGAGTGATACGCCCAACATTGACCTCTCCATCGCTCTCTGTGCCACTTGTATCTTATTAATTACTTTTCTGGTAAGTGTCAATGTTTCTGCTCCATATGTCAGAACTGGAAGTACACACTGATCAAAAACTTTTCTCTTCAAGCACATGGGAATAGCTGATTTAAAGACTTCCCTCAGTTTTCCGTAAGCTGCCCATGCCAGTCCTATTCTCCTTTTTAACTCTGTTGTTTGATTGTCTCTTCCAAATTTAATCTCGTGGTCCAGATACTTATAGGAATACACTTGTTCAATTTGCGTGCCATTAGTGAAAATGTTTTTTGCCAGTACCAGGTTGGTCATGTATTGTGTTTTGGAAAAATTAATTTTAAGGCCAACTCGTGCACAAGAGCTCTGAAGGTCTTGAAGAAGTTGGCATGCATGATCTACCTGATCTGCAATAAGGACTATGTCGTCTGCAAACCTCAAGTTGTTCAAAAATTCCCCATTTATATTTAATCCAATATTTTCCCAATTATTTTTTCTCATAGCACTCTGTAATAGGGCGGTGAATAGTTTAGGAGAGATAGTGTCTCCTTGCCTAATACCTTTCTCCAAGGGAAATGTGTCTGTGTCACCATAGTACATTTTTACAGCAGCTGTTGCGCTATCATATATATTTCGAAGAAGAGTTGTGTACCTATGGTCAATACTGCACTCTGTAAGAGCTCTTAACATGGAGCTATGCTGGACTGAGTCAAATGCTTTCTCAAAGTCTACAAATATTAATATCAATGGCTTGTTGTATTCTATAACTTTCTCTATCAAGGATTTTATTACTTGTAGGTGGTCATTTGTTCCAAAGCCACTCCTAAATCCGGCCTGCTCTAGAGGTTGATGAACATCTAGCTTAGGTCCCAGTCTGTTAGTAATTATTCTCATAAAGAGTTTATATAAATGAGATAATAAGTTGATAGGTCTGTAGTTGCCAATATGTGCTTTTACACAACATGAGTCGGAAACAATTACTACAGATCATTTTTATGTATTTTTAAAATGTAACAAAGCTTCGTAAATAACAATTACTGAGTATTGAAAAAGCATTATTTAATTTAACATTTTTTCTTTAAAAAAAAAAAAAAAAATTGTTAAAATCCTTTATAAAAGGTATATAAAAATGCCTCAAACGGGCTATCACAAACACATTGCAAAACGTTTTCGGATTAAACAATCCATCATCAGTGCAAACGGTTGCACATGCTAGTAGCGACCAAAATATATGGGTAAAAACACTTTAAATGTTATAAATTTGAAATTGTTTTACATTATTAGTATTTCTAATTTGTGATGGTTAAGTTACCGTTGGATAGGTAACATGGCGGCGTATGACTCTACATGAGTAAAATGGTCCTGAGACGAAGTGTCTACGAGGACCTGTTGATAACAACTGATCAAAATGACATTGGTTTTTACCCATATATTTTGGTGGCTACTAGCATGTACAACCGTTTGCACTGATGATGGATTCTTTAATCCGAAAACGTTTTGCAATGTGTTTGTGATAGCCCGTTTGAGGCATTTTTATATACCTTTTATAAAGGATTTTAACAAAATTTTTTTGTGATATATGGTATACAGCCAGCTACAGGAACTTAGTTTCCTCGTGGAATTTTTTCTTTATTACTTGATGAAACATAAAAGGCAAATCCAGTGCCAGAAGTGGACTTGACGCATCTCATCAAATATTTGATGGAAGTTTGGAACCTATACTCATGATTACTCAGTTGTAATTTATCTGTTTTTGTTAAATACATTATGTCGGGTGAAAATACAAACCCTAGATTTCTTTGGAAAAATTTTAAATCCATTTTGTTGGAATAAATTTTTTGATGTCATTTATTTTACCTAATATTTCTAGACAATTATCCTATTTTTTCGGAAATGAGTATTTTTAATGTATTTTTCACTATTGTTTGATCTAAGATATATCTTCCTACATGAGTAAAAATTACAAATTGTTTCTGCGAGAATAATTTTTTATCATTTGAAATCTGTAAAAGTATTTCACATACAAAATATTAATAAGATTTGACCATATATCCACGACATAGAGATGTTCTTTCAGTTATTTGACTTTGATTTTATTTAAATTTAACAAGACATTACTAAAGTTATTGGTTTTGCTTTTAGAGTGTCAGTGTAACCCGCAAGGTTCAGTATCATCTTCATGTAATCAAGAAACGGGAGCTTGTACTTGTAAAAATAAATACGATGGCCTGAAGTGTGAAAAATGCAGAGACGGATATTTCTATAAGGACGACGATTGTGCTTGTAAGTATGAAAGATATTGTAATAAAATTATTTTGTTATCGAAAATGAATTTTTGTTTTTCAAAATATTCTCTTTATAAAGTTTGGTATATAATTAAATGCTGCGAAAAATATTAAGAGTGATAGAGAAGAAAGAAGGAAACAATGGATAACGGACTCCACGTGGACTAAAATACAGGAGAGGAAGTGCTTAAAAGCCACAGGACTGAACAGTGAAAGTGATAAAGAGGCCTATAAAGCGCTGAACGGTCAAATAAAACGACTCTGCAAAAAGGACAAGAACACACACTTGAACAAAATCTGCATGGAAATAGAAGGGCATAAAACCAAAACTGAGACCAGAGACATGTTTAAAAAAAATCAAGCAGATAACACGTTCCTTTACACCAAACTACCCTGCTATCAAAGATGATAACGGAACTCTACTCACTTCTAAAAAAGATATTTTACACAGATGGAAAGAATACTGTGGACGACTGATGATGGAGGAAAGCACAGACGCCCCATCACAACAAGAAGATGCCAGTTTTGCGACGGAACCTGACGTACTCAAAAGTGAAGTTGAAGCAGCAATTATGAGGCAAAAAAGTCAAAAAGCTGCCGGTCCAGATAACATACCTACTGAAATGATTTGGGCCCTAGATGACGTTGGAGTGGATATAATACATCAAATTTGTCAAAGAGTGTGGGAGACAGGTAAATGGCCTGAGGACTGGACACAATCACTATATATTCCCATACATAAAAAGGAAGCGAAAGATTTATGTAGCAACTATCGCACAATTGCTCTAATTGCGCATTGCAGTAAGATAATCTTACACATAATTCTCGAGAGGATAAAGCCCTTTTTACTACCTAACATTGCGGAGGAACAAGCAGGTTTCGTCCCAGGACGTGGTACTAGAGAACAAATTTTAAACGTACGGCAGATTGTAGAAAAATCCAGAGAATTCAACATCACAACATATTTGTGCTTCATAGATTATAGTAAAGCTTTCGATTTGGTCAACTGGAGTAAAATGTGGCAGGTTTTGTCTGAAATGGGAGTCCTTAATCATCTGATACTACTAATTAAAAGCCTGTACAATGACAATTATGCCAGAGTTAGAATAAATGGGGAACTAACTGACAGTTTCAGGGCCACAAAGGGCGTGAGACAAGGCTGCATACTAAGCCCAATTTTATTTAGCATCTATGGTGAATGGATAATGCGGAAAGCTACTGAGGACTGGAACGGTGGCATCACCATTGGCGGGAAGAAGATTTGCAACTTGAGATATGCAGATGATACTACTATCCTCGCTAGTTCTGAAACTGAATTGATTCACCTGCTACAACGGATAGAAGACGTAAGCTTAACGATGGGCCTTAAAATAAACAGGGATAAAACGAGAATCATGATAATTGACAGAGCTAACAACAATCAAAATCATCTGGTTAGGACAAACAATATCGCTGTTGTAGATAAATTTGTGTATCTGGGCTCATTAATAACCAACAAAGGAGGCTGTACTGAAAAAATAAAGCGGCGGTCAGCAATCGCAAAAAGCGCTATGGCAAAATTAACAAAAATTTGGAAAAGCCATGAAATTACTACCGATACAAAAATGAGACTAGTAAGAAGTCTAGTTTTTCCAGTTTTTACTTATGCATCGGAATGCTGGACCCTTACTGAGAAAGACAAAAAGAACATAGATGTATTTGAGATGTACTGCTGGAGACGAATGCTGAGAATACCATGGGTGGCCCGAAGAACAAATGAATCAAAGAAAAAATGAAGACAAAGAAAATAACAGAACAGATAATAAGCTATTTTGGACATGTGCTTCGAAGAAATGGTCTTGAAAAACTTACCATCCAGGGAAAAGTAGAAGGCAAAAGAAGTAGAGGTAGATCTCCTACACGAGACACAGACCATATTGTTGCTACCATTGGCGCTCCATTGTCAGAATGTGCTAGATTGGCAGAAGATAGAAAAACGTGGAGGAACATTGGAAAAATTACCTAACAGCTTCATGATATCACGATACCTGCATCAGGTTAACGACTAAGAAGAAGAAGATATAATTAAACCAATCATTTGAAGATTTTTCTCTAATCCAAATCGGCTTCTTCAGATGTATAATGCTTATTCTGATTGGAGATTTGATAAATAGTATCTGGTCTTCATCTAGCATCTTTCTAGTATCTGGTCCTGATCACCAATGATCTCCCCTGTTCTATTTCTAACGATTGATAATCTAGGTTTGATAATCAGCTGATTAATAATCAGCTGCCTATATTCTTCCTCTGTTTGTCTCGTTCTTCGCCCTTGGAGTCTTCTATATACCTGATTTTTTCTTTGCGTTGCTTGTGCGCAATCCTCATCGTACCAGTTTGATCTTAATTTTTTACGTTTTTGCTTTCCGATAGCTTCAGTTGTCACTTCTTCCAATGTGGCTCTACACTGCCTCCAATAGTTGTTAATATCTTCAACCATAATATCCGTGCATCCTTCCAGCTTGCTTACGAGACTTTCCTCAAATCTCTTAGCTATCTCAGGGTTCTTCAACCTTTCTTTTTTAACTCCTTTTTCTTTCTTTTTCTTTCTCTAAAATATAAATCTATACCATCATATTTAGAATATATCTTAGCGTGAATAAAAAGTTAAGTTCTTTAAACCTTGTTAACCATTTTTTTATGACTATTAAATTCTGAAACATTATTTTAGACTGTGATTGTGATACCAGCGGTACTGAACCGGAGATCTGCAACAAAAGCAACGGAACTTGTATATGCAAACCGGGATATGGTGGCCAACGTTGTGATACATGTCTTTTGGGTTACTACGGCTACCCTGATTGCAAACCTTGTGACTGTAGTAAGACGGGATCTCACGGAACCAGTTGCAGTGCGTCTGGAAAATGTTCTTGCTTGTTCAACTATGCCGGGAAAACTTGTAGCCAATGTAGCCCTGGTTATTATGACTATCCCAATTGTAACGGTAGGTACTTAGATGTAAATTTCAAACACATTTTTTATGAACTAATAATGTTTTAGCTTGTGAGTGCGATGAGGCCGGATCTATTGGTTTGTCTTGTGATCAAAATGGGAAATGTGAGTGCAAAGAAAATTTTGCCGGGCAACAATGTAACGCTTGTAAAGAAGGATATTACAACTTTCCTGCATGCGAAGGTAAGGTTTTTTATAGTTTTTAAATAAACCATTACATCAATTAGTTTACAGCCTTTTGTTATGTTTGGTCCAACATATTCTGGAAACATGTTTCCGACTAAAACATGTAAGAAGGACCAAAGTAAGAAGACTTTGAACATGTTCATGTACATTTAGACATTTTATAATAATATAATATCAATTTCTGTAGTTTTTATTAGTTAAAGTGAAATCTTAAACAATATTGTGTAGTACATTTATGAAATTTTATCTGTTTTAGATTGTAACTGCCATCCTGCTGGTGTAGTGGAAGGTTTTGCTGGATGTGGATCAGTACCCGCGGGTGAACTCTGCCAATGCAAAGAACGCGTAGAAGGAAGGATCTGCAACAAATGCAAATCACTATTTTGGAACTTAAACCTTAACAATCCTAACGGTTGTGAGGATTGTAAGTGTAACACAAGTGGTGTATTAGGAGGAATCGGAGTTTGCGATCCTGAAGATGGACAATGTGTTTGTAAACCTTCGGTTATATCTAGGTCATGCTCGGTATGTGCTGACGGAACCTACAAACTAGAAGAAGATAATTTATTTGGATGTATTGGTAAGTATTTTGCTTTTTTAATATATTGTTGATATTTGGGACATTCTTTTATTACATTTTAAGACTGTAACTTCAAATTTTAAGTCGCTTAAAATTAGGTGGGATCCCAAAGTCTATTATTGCATTATATAATGCAGTTCCTTTCACAATGCCATAGGCTGCTTTGAAGTCGACAAAGAGATGGTGTGTATCTATGTTATTTTCTAGTGACTTTTCTAGCATCTACCTATGTGTAATGCCTCTTTATTTAAATAGGGGTGACGAATGCTAATTTCTATCTAGGGAGTAAGGAATTCTGGATAAAAGAAGTTTGCATAATTAGTGTTAAGGGTATTGTAATGTATGGGTGTATGTAATGTAAGATAAATATTGTATGTGGACGTAACTAATGTAAGATAAATATTTTTGATATCAAATGACGCAACTTTGGTCGATGTGGCTTTAAAATGACTAAACAAAATTTTTGCTTCATAATTTTTCAGATTGTGGTTGCGATATTGGAGGATCTGTCAATACGGTTTGTGATAAGAAAACTGGTCAATGTAAATGTCAATCGCGTGTGGAAGGTCGCACTTGCAGAGAACCTTTACAGGCTCACTATTTCCCTACACTTTACCAATATCAGTATGAAGTAGAAGACAGTCGCACCCCAGAAAATAGTAAAGTTAGATATGACCACGACGAGAATGTGTTCAGTAACTATTCCTGGAAAGGATATGCTAAGTTTTCTTCTATACTACAACGAGAGGTAAGAAGAAAAATTAAACTTAAGTTGTCTATATTTATCGATGTCCCTTTAAAACCATATTTTCTTTTTATATCTTACATATGTAAAATATTGTTGATATAGATACATGTATTTTTTGTTCAACAAATCGTAGACTAATAGTTGATTCAGATTACTATACCAATAATAATTCAGTTGAATTTGTAGTATTAACTGCTGATTAAGGTTAGTTTTGGCCCAATCATCGAAATTTTGTTAAAAAATCCGTATCTAAATTCTAATTAGGCAACGCACAACACAAAGGTAATTGGTTTAAGTAATTTTATCAAAAGACTGTAGTATGTGTAATAATATAAGTATTTTTTTGTAGGTTGTTCAAGAGATCAACATCGTCAAACCGTCTCTATACAGAATGGTCTTCCGTTTCGTCAACCCTAATCCTTATACAGTCATTGGTAGTATACGAATAGTTCCTGAAAATCCCAACGATAATGATCAAGTTATGCAGGTCCAGTTTAGAAATACTTCACAGCCAGCGTTTGTCACTGTTGCAGGAGAGAGCGGCAATATAGCTAAATCATTCGTAATCAATCCTGGACGTTGGTCAGTATACATCAACATTAACCAGACCGTTTTCTTGGTAAGTACGTTATGTTTACAAGCACAGAAAAATTTTTATAGCCCAAAATTGAAAAAAAAATGACCCTGAAAATGCTCTAGGAAGCGAAAGTACTTGGGCAAGATTTCATTAATAAAACGGTGCTCACATTGTTTTCCAAATACAAACCAAAACGCATCTCCTACTTAGAGGAAGACGGCAAACAAAGCTTAAATTAAATAATTATTAAATTTGTTATATTTTAATCACCATGTGGCCGGTATTATTTTTGACAAGACAATTGTTAATTAAGTCATGTGTCATATCGACTGTCACTTATCGATACGGCACCTGTCTTAATTACTTCTTGTTTTTGTTGGGTATAATTAATTATTATTAATTAGTATTATTAATTAATTACGATGATTGTAAAGAATGTTTTTCCATTACAGCAAGTTCTGATGAAGCCCAAAATTATGTGGCGAAAGCTTGACTATTAATAAGACACTCACTTTCAAGCACCCGTTTTTTATTGCTTCCTTAGTATTAGGTCGTTCCCGGTTACCTTCAACTGTCTGTTGTTTAGCATTAGCCCGTTACTGTCCTTGATATATATATATATATATATATATATATATATATATATATATATATATATATATATATATGTATATATATATATATATATATATATATGTATATATATATATATATATATATATATATATATATATGTTGAAATTATAATAAATAAATTTAATAAATTAAACCTTTCAGGATTACTTTGTGCTATTACCAGAAGATTTTTATTTAGCTACGATTTTAAACCAGAAAGTTGGCAAACCATGCACGATAGGAGAACAGGATTTGTGTAGACATCATGCTTACCCCAACCTTACTGCCTACGACAAATCTTGGGGAGTCGGAGGTTTTGGAGCAAATAACAAACAACTTACGGAATGGTTCAAAAATACAACTGTAAGTATTTTAAAGTTTTTTAAGTAATTTCTTCTCTTTTAAAAATAATTTATAACAAACATTAAATGTTACATTTTTAATGATTTAGCCTCAGGACAAATAGATCTAAATATAAATTTTGAACTCAGATAGAGAGTACTGCTTCGTATAAAAGTCTATCTAGGCCACGATTCAATAATTTTTTAAATTTCAGTTTTATGTTGTTTTATGAACCTCAGTATTGGTTTTTGTTGGCAGTAGAATTTTGACTTTAATCTTTATATTTAATCTTTTTTGGATGCCTGCTAGTGGTCTGTCTTTGTTTATTTTATTAATTTATGCTTTTTTCTTACTTTTTTTATATCCCTTGTACGATTCTACGGGTTTCAATGTTTGGTGTCTCAAAAAAGCAGTTTTCATCTTGCGACATTTTTCTTTAACGTCTCGTTTGCGAACGACCACTCTTGGTTTGGTTGAAGAGCTGTGTCGTAGGTAAGTGAATAAAAGAGGGACTGATGGTAACTGCAGAGAAAGAAATCAAAAAATACTTACATAGATTTCCTGAGCAACCCACACAAGAAGTTTCTTAAACTGTTTGAAAGAGACGCTGTTTAAAAGAATCTTCTCGCTGGATGGAAAGAAAGGCTTTTCTTTCCTTTTAGAAAGGCTTTTAAAAAAATTTTAAAGGTGAAAATCTTAACTTCTACAACTGCTGGTTTAGAGAGAAACTTTACATATTAATTATTACTTTACATCAACAGTTATTACAAATAATATTAACAAAATTTATCAACAAAACTTACAATTGCGCTATTTGTAACGATTTTTGAACAAGCTCCAGACGTTGGACGATACTTGTAGGAATTAAAATTTTTATTAGAAATGAAAATATCTAGATTTTTCAACGGAGCTTACATTGAGGTTACCCTTCAAAGAACCAATTCAAATTTATTGTTATGTAAGAATAATATGACAATTACCAATCCATAAAACTTTTAATTTCATTTATTTACAATTCTTTAGTTTGTCATGAAAGCAATTTTTTTATTAATGGAAAATGTCTATTTTTACTGAAAAAAACTTTAACAAAAAGGGTTGAGTTTACCGAAAGTACAAACTGAATATTGTTCTTGCTCTTGCTCTCAAAGAGCAATGGAGAGGGCCATGCTAGGGATTAGTTTGAGAGACAGGATTCGAAATAACGTCATTCGTGAAAGAACAAAAATTACTGATGTCTCAGAACGTATTGCAAGGCTCAAGTGGCAATGGGTCGGACACGTTGCCCGAGATAATCCCGAAAAATTGACACAAAGATTAACAAACTGGAGACCAAGAGAGAACAGGCGAGGAGTAGGCAGACCGCAGAAGAGGTGGACAGACGATATCAAACAAGTCGCGGGCAAGCAGTGGATGAGAATTGCCAAAAGTAGAAATCGATGGAAGCAAATGGAAGAGGACTATGTCCAGCAGTGGCCGAACACAGGCTGGAGAAGAAGAAGACAAGCTGAATATAGCCGCAAATGTCAACCAAGATTTAAAATATTTCGATTTGGCAGTGTTGAGATGTTTTTAAAACGCATCTGTTGAAAGCTTTTAAAAAGTACATATCGATTATACTATTTTATGAATTCTGCAATTTTTAATTTATAAATAAAACAATAATAAGTAAATATTTGTCTCTCTCGAGATAAATTTCAAACATCTATTGCAATCTGGCAACTGCTGATCTGACGATTGTCAAATCTATTACCCAATCTATCAAAGGGTAATTGTCAAAAAAAATTCTAATAATTAACTGCAATGTACTTATCTAAAGCTTTATCTTTTTGTATTTGAAGCATACAGCATCTACATTATAAAAACATGCCAACACTGCTAAACCTAAATTTTTTGTTCCATGTTTGACATTTGCGGGTATAATCAGCTTGTACTTTCTGTAAACTCAGCCACAAAAAATACTTTATATCACTCTGGTTGATGAATTTCCTTCAAGAAGTTTTTGGGTTTAGAATTGGACCAAAACACTGCAAACAAACACAATTGTGTCCTACACAAGCTGCAAATTGGTCTGGGGTGACCATAGAACATAAAGATAGACAAATTTTTGGAAGTTGGAACTGATTCGGGCTTCGGATTATCTTGGATGACAACAAACTACAATCTTTAAAACTCGGCCATTCAATTTCTTCTTAGAACCATGTGAACATCTCAATTGGTTGGAAACGCCGTCTTACAAATATCTCAGATAAGGCACAACACAAACAAATCGGTGATTAACTCAACAGAAACTACCAGATCGCATTTTGAGTACAGATTCACCTTTCAAATTTAAAAAAAATTGTCGGCTTTGAAGACTACACTCGCAAGCTATTTCTTCCGAATCTCAATCCAAACTTGACTTTCACCTAAACTCCACACTTAACTGCTACTATGACTTTACACTGTATTTGCATGAAGAAAACGAACAACGAACAAACAATAACGAATTTGAACGAAGAAAAATTCTTACTTAAACAATAAAACCGACTGACTTTGGCAGCGATTTCACCGGCAGTAATTTCATTCTTCCAAAACAGGTCTCTTGTCCGCATCAGCGAAAAGATTCCTGTTTATTTGACGCTATCCATATATATACAATATCCAATAGGTGGCATCAACATCAAACAAACGCAATTGTGTTATTATCTATAGACCAGAAATGTTTATATTATCAATCCCAACGACGCAAAAGGATTGAAATAATTTTTCGGTGTTTTGGAAACATACGAAGGGAAGGGAAACATACGAAGGGAAATCGAAATAAATCTAGCTGCTACACTTTCACGTTATTGTGCATTTATAGTTCATAATATTTAATCGTAAAAAATAATATACTATAATAATTGGCCATTTAACAGTAAATTATTACTTTCAATACTAAATAAAGTTTAATTGAATATGTAGTAAGGTTTATTTTTGCTAGTAATGCTTCACTTTAGTGTTTCTACATTATTTCATTTACCTAGAAACTAACAGGTTTGCGTTTTTCAGCATTTACACGAGGTAAAAAAACTTAGCAACAAAGTACCTATGTTAAACGAACTCCAACCGGAAATATCCCTTAACATCTCACTACACAAAGCCGGAGACTATATACTAGTAATAGACTATATAACACCTTTGGATGATCTGCGTACGCATGAAGTTCGAGTAACCAAACATTCCAAAGAGGGAATAGAAAGTGGACAAGTTATATTATACGCTTGCCCTTATACTACCTTGTGTAGGCAAGTAGTAACCAATAGTAGTCAAGGAGTTGCTGTGTATAGTATCAGCGGAAATTCTATTGTAGTCAATATTACGGTAAGTAATATTCCATATATATTCTAGTATTGTGAATTTATTCTGAAATATTAATCTGAATCCATTGTTATATTCTATATATAATTTTAGAGTCCTAGCGCTAACGTTGGAATCCATTCAGTGACTGTCATACCTTTCGAAGATTGGTCCCTTGATTTCATCACACCACAACCGGTGTGTATTCGTAGAGATGGAGAATGTATACCTTTTAGCTTTCATAACCCTCCAGAAACGAAGAAAATTCCATTCGATCAGGAAGTCATGGGAGAAATTGGCAAAAACAAGCCACCAGTAAAAGAGTTTTATAACAATAGTTTTATTTGGTTGAATCCATCCGATACTTCTTTGGATATTAAAGGAAAAGTTCCCGTACCCGGATTTTACACTTTCATGGTGCATTATTATCAACCTCATTCACCAGGTAATTATCAACTACCTTTATTATTTATGATAACTTGCACTGAATAACACTGTCGCTCCGTTTTATAATATATCTACTATTTTTTTGCATTTCTCAGCATTGGGACGAGTAGAGAGGTGTGCAAGTTATGCTGGGTTCATTGCTATTGTTTGCTTGGTTAGTAATAAGATTTTAAAATGTATTTTTTTAATTCAGCCTTCGACTTGGGAGTCATTATTCAAAATGGTGCCTTTTATGAAACCAAAGTACGTATAGATCACTGTCCTTCCCAATCTGGATGCAGAGCTGTAGTTACCCAAGCTGATGGAAACAGGGCGTTCAGTTTAACAGAAAATTTCATGATGACCCTTAAAGTAAATATGACTTTATATTTTTTATATTTGAAAATTTTAATTATTTTTTAAATAAATACATAGTATATGTAGCTTTTTATCAAACCTCTTCACGAATTGAATTTTTAGCTCCAAAATAATAAAGACGTATACCTGGACTATTTGCTTGTGGTTCCTGCAGATTTATATACCGAACAATATCTTGAAAAATCCGAAAACTTTGATAGAGCTGGGGAATTTATATCAAAGTGCGGCAGTAATCATTTTAACATTGATACAACTATGGAAGGTAAGGAATTGTAGTATATTACGAAATATAGTATCTTTTCTGTGATACTTTTACTATTAAATGTTGTATTTTAGTTTTAGCAAAATTAATAAAATGTGTTACAGGTTTTTGCCGAGACTCCGTATTTTCTATCACTGCTGGCCATAATACCGGCGCTCTCCCCTGCCAGTGCGATTACGTAGGTTCCAAAAGTTTCGAGTGTGAGAAATTCGGTGGTCAATGCCAATGTAGGGAAAACATAATTGGTCGTAAATGTGAAGCCTGCAAAACTGGCTACTATGGATTCCCCGACTGTAAACCCTGTAGATGTCCAGCAACTGCATATTGTGAACCCAATACCGGAGAATGTATTTGTCCTGAAAACGTAGTAGGAGAAAATTGTGACCAATGTAAGCCATTGACGTATGGGTTCGATCGGCTTATTGGATGTGAGGAATGTAAATGTGATTACTTGGGAGTCGAGAGAAATGACTACCAATGTGATCTATTAAGTGGCGCTTGTCGGTAAGTATTATTATACCGTATGTCTGTTTTTCTCCATGCCTGATATTTCGTACACAAAATCAAAACTTTCGTTAGTTGTTTTTCTCGGTTGTGAGCCTTAATAACTTGGACAGTGTCATGCAAGATCTTTTTCTTGATTAATAGTTTTCAAATCCCACTAAACTAGCCCTCACATTTTTAAAGTATATAACTTGTAGCATGGTGAAAAATATGTACTTTATACTTGGTGATTGGTATTTGTCGGCTAGATGGCTTAGTGGGCTGGTAAAAATACTTCGGAATGAGTAGTTACTGTGTTTAGGCTTCGAAATTTATAGGGTGACCACTTACTTACTTAATCACTTACTCTACAAATATCTCAGATGGGAGACGGCTTACAAACAAAAAACAGTGATTACTCTGATCTAAAGTGACACATTACTTTGAGTATAAATCACATTTTCTTCGACAAATTTGCCGGTTTCTTCGTCGACTAACTAAAACGTCCGCATACGATGGCCATCCTTTCAGACCTAAAACTTGAACTCATTCGACCTGACGCTCTGTGTACCGGCTTCTCCTCTAACCTTGCAAATGCTAAAACACGCTATTTGACATCGAATCATTCCCAGTTTTTAAAATTGTAGAACAGCACGTACAAGTTAATAAAACCATATTTAAAGTCTCCATTATAACTGGAATTTGGAATTTTTTCCTTTACAACACAATGTAAACAGAGAATTGGGGAAATATTTAAACTTGGCCTTGGGGGTACTAGATAAATTTTATACTTGAATATTAGTTAGTTTAAGTAATTTTCTGCATGCTACAATATAAATTGACCTAACTACGCTCATGTCACCAATTTCCGCAATACCAGCTTGGGCTGTTGATCGATCTGTGGCTACCTGCTTCTTTTTATTTGTGTGCCGGGCTTGTTTTCAAATGTTGGATATCGTCATGTTAACAAGCTAATGGAATGTTTCTCGATCTACAGCTAGATAAAACAATTCCTCGACCGTTCGACTTATCCAGCCATGACAGTTGTTTTCTTCCGACCCAACGTTTTTCTTCGATTTTGCCTTTAATGATCAACCGCAGTAAGCGATATTTTGGGCAGCCTATCATTACATGACCGAAGTATTGGACCTTTCTTATTTTGATGATGTTGGTCAATTCTCGCTTTTTGTGCATGGTCTCTAGCACACTTTGTTGCATACCTGCTAGCGTTGCATATTTTTCCAAATTCTAATAATAAACTTTTTATATTATTTTAGTCAGTCTGATATTAATATTTGTATAAGAAAGTCATAAATAATTTAATTCTCGCATTACGAAAATCTGTAATTTTAATTAAAATAAATCGTTTTTAAAAACCATCCCGAAACGGCAGAAACCATTGGTTACGTATAATATTTTTCAGCTGCAAAGAAAACATAGTCGGACGAACTTGTGACAGATGCAAAGCAGGAAACTACCAGTTTCCATACTGCGAATCCTGTGAATGTAACATCGGCGGAACTATAGCGGAAATCTGTGACAACAGTACAGCCGAATGTTTCTGTAAGAAGAACGTCGTTGGGCCTCATTGTGAATTCTGCAGAGAAGGATCTTTCAATATACAACCGAGCAACGAAGATGGATGTACAGAATGTTTTTGCTTTGGAAAAACCACAAGGTTACATAGATCACTCTGATTATATAATGTTTTATTCTAATTTCGTTTATGTTTTAGATGTCAAAGCTCAAGATTAATTAAAGTTTCTCTGAATATAATGAAGGACTGGGAGGTAGTAAAGTTAGATTTAAATGATAAATTGAATGTTACTTCCTTACACATTCAGCTGCAGAACATGGATGATGATAGTAATGTTCTGGGTATAGACTTTTCGTATGTCAATGTTTCAACTGCATATTTCTCCGCACCTGATGATTATTTGGGCAAGAAGTTAGTTTCCTATGGTGGTCATTTAAATTACTCCATCTTTTATAACATTGGCCAAGAAGGTAAGTCTAATATAGAGCAAGGTTTGTTAATATTGTAGTCGCCCATAATTTTCACTAAACGATGTTATAGATAAGACTTATTATTGTAAGTTTATAATTGCATTAAGGGAAGTTTATAATGGCATAAGTCAGCTGACAAATTTGCAAACAAAAAATTTTGAAAAGAAAAACATTTAAGAAATTCTTTTAACGTAAAAATATGTATTTAAAATATTCAAAATGTTTCCCTTTATCTCAATACGGTTCAAAGAACCTTTTTTTTGTAATAATATCAATATCTAACTCGATTGCTATTCAATGTTTGAGATCTTCGACGTTTTCGATCGTATGCACAAAAACATTCTTAAACATGCCCAGATTGGGAAATCCGTAGGAATAATGTCTGGCGACCGCAAAGGCCACGGTTCGTTAGCCTCCAATCTCTCCAGGAAAATGCTAGCTTAGGAAAGCCCAAACTTCTAGACCAAAATGCGCAGGTAGTCTTAATGCGAACGTTCTTTGCCATTTCACGCGAAACACAACGACTTAACTCACGAAAAAACCTTTATTTGTTCGTCTAGAGGATGCCTAGATGCCCAGTCTGCCTTGTTGCTAGGTAACGCATGCTAAATGCAAAAGAGAGCTGTGGAATTGACGCATATGCGTCATTGCCGTATATTTTTTCAGGGATCAAACAGAACAAGTTGAAAAAATTTTAAGAATACAGACAATACAACTGTAAATTGTAAAATGTAAAGAATCGGGCATCACCACGCTTTAAAAAATGAAAGCACTGCGCTGGATGGGTCACGTAGAGCGCATGCAGGAATATTTATCCCCAACGAAAATCATAACGCAGGCACCATCGGAAAGAAGACAAAAAAAGACAGGCCTTTCTTAACTTAAAAATTATCAAGTGCCAAGGTCTACAAAGTATTTTCGTGATAACGATGATGATGATAAACAACGGTTATAAGAGAAGTTTGAGACAAATCCAGTAACGACTACATCCAGTAATACACAAGGGTCCAATTACAAATTAACCCCTTAATTTGTAATCTCACATTATTCTTAACTTCTTAATCTTTTATAGTTTCACCATGTACACGTGAGCTATTGTAAAACCATATCGTATAATATTTTAATAATTAGTTCATTTACCTACAACTAAATAAATTGCCGAATAATATATTTTCTAATTGAATTTCCTAAGTGAGCAATTAAGGCCTAGATTAAATTGTAATGTAATAGTTCAAATTATCGTATGATAGAAAGCAATAACTTCTATGGTGAGGTATGAATTATGTGTGAGATTATAAATTGGGGATTTGAGCTCATTTGAGTACAGTTTATCATAAGTAGTTACCTAAAGAACATCATATTGTGTAATTACCAGTAGCTGTCAATAAAATCAACACTTTTACTCCACAACTTCAACTTTTATTATATTTATCATCGTCAATCGACAAGTGGACAAAAGGGCATTTACAAACCGATTCAAACCTCAAAACTACGTCCGAATCTTTCCACAAGCTACAAATGAAAGTAGATAAGTCAGAACAAATGACCTTAATACAGCAAAATATCAAACCTATGGTTCAATATGGAAATCAGGGATTTGGCATGCGAGAAAAGGAAATAATACCTACAGTAGTGTAGCAATAAAATAAAAACACTTACCAGCAATACAAAGATAAAAGAAACGACATTAATTATGCAATAAGAAGCATAAAAAGCACACAAGTGCTATTTCAAGCATGTACAGATCTGAATTGCGACATTTACACATGCTTCATTGATTGTCATAAAGCATTTGATACAGTAAAACATAGATTTGCCATGATGGTCGCCAACATCCGAAACGTATAGGCACTACAAAAAGAAGAAGTATAAAAAGAACTACCTATATAAGAAAATATTGCCTCCAAAATAATATCCACAAATTATGCGGAACACCCAGAGGAAGAAATGTCACCACCTTCAGAACATCAGCTTTGTCTACTTGATAGCCGAATACTGCTCTCCAGTGTGGTTTGACAGCAGCTTTGTAACGAAGACAAGCACAAAACTCAATAAAACCATGAGAATCATCGATCATCGGTGGACGTATAAAACGTACACCTACCCCTGGCTCCCTGTACTGTGTCATATTATTGTTCCTCATATCCGTAGACAAGAGAGCCCCCTATAATTGCGAACCCACAACTACGGATATACATATTGATATCCCACTGAAGAGGCTTAAATATAGATCGCCACGTTTCTCACGGCAAGCCAACTATATGAGGATTGTTTCAGCGCCTACGCAAAACGGAAGGAAGTTTAATGAATTTAATGAAGTTCAGTAATCGCCTAGCACGTATATAATTAACCTGTTTTGACTGAAACCCCATGGGCTGTGCCCCGGCTCGCTATATAAATGAGGACTGAACCAGACAGAATCGTGTGGGTGCGGATAACCTCGGAAAAGACACGCATTGTAAGCAAATTGTAAGGGAATATTCAACAATCTGAGAAAGTGGTATAATTGCAGTTCCATCGACTTTAGCATCGATCTCGTGTTACATTTTTAAAATTTAATATTATCCTGTCAACTAAGGGTTTTTGGATCTTGCTATGTGGCTAGTTTCAAGATGTTTTCACTGATGATGATCTGATAAGATCGAAAACGTTCTGAGATTTTTAATCCTTTTTAATAGTTTAAATTTTTGGTAGACTTGCTGAAGCTGAAACTATTGGTGGTTTAATAAACTTTGGTCTTATCATCTTTTTTTGAGGTGCCATCCCTTTTAAAGGATGTACTCTCTGTTTCTAAATGTGTCCTCACTGTCACTCTGAAATTCAATTCAAATTCTGAAGTACTTATTGGAAGTTGTGGCTCTAGATCCAAAGGGGGTTTGGAAGCTTTTTCAACTACTACAGGTGTGGGATTGACTCTCCCAATAGATTTTTGTATTACAGGCCGTTGAACATGTACAACAGTTCGTACAGGTGGTTGTTCTACAGCAAAAGGTGAAGGTTAATTTATTTGATTCATTAAATGAAGTACTTGAGTATATAATCTAGGAATTGTAGTTAAAGTATGGACAATATTTTTAGTAGTAGCCTTATTAGCTTTGGGATACAAATATTTTAAATGTCGTAGTTGAAAAAGCTTCCAAACACCCTTTGGATCTAGAGCCACAATCTTAATTGGAGAGTGACAGTGATTTAGAAACAGAGAGTATATGCATCTAAAAGGTATCGCACCTCAAAAGAAGATTATTAAAAGACCTGAGTTTATTAAATCACCAATAGAGTCAGCTTGAGCAAATCTACCCAAGTTTTAGTGTCGTTACTTTTGGGAAACAATAATATCACTTTTAATCAAACAGTGAGAAAGTGGAATGTAATATAAAAAGGAGCGTCTTAACCTATTTCTAAATTAATTGCATTTTAATGACTTTAATTATAGCCTAGTGCCTTCGTTTCCTTTATTTTTACTGTTATTCCCATTGTACTTCTTAAAATATGGATTCAATAATACTAATATTCAATAATGTCGTCAAATGAAACAGTTTTACAATATTAATTTTGTTTTGTTATTTTATAGGATCGGCTGTTAGTGGCCCGGACGTAGTTTTACAGGGAAAAGACATTTACTTGGTATACTCCAATCTAGAGCAACCTCCTCCAGAATCAGACTTCTCAACATCCCTACAGCTAGTAGAAAGCAATTTTGAATTATCTTCCGGTGAACCGGCCAGACGAGAACATATCATGGAAGTCCTTAGGGAATTGGAAGGAATTTACATTAGAGCTACCTATTGGTCATCGACAATTTCCACAAGGTAATCAGACTTATCTGTTTCTTTTGGACTAGCTTCATATTTTATATTCACATCCGTATAATTTTGGGAACTACGGTTCAGTAGACTTATACAGACTTGTACCACAAAATAAATAACAATCAGAATGCCCACTCTCAGATGTCGCCTTTGAAGTTTGTCAACACGCGAACGCCATGTTTTAGACGGAAACATAGACTCGAATTGAGAAATTTGTGACAAGCTACGACATAGTGGGCATTCTGATTGTTTAATATTCTGCGGAAGGAGTCCGTTTTTGAACTGTCCTTCAACTGTTAAGTACGTGTAAGAAAATAACGTATTTCCGTCCGTGTTGGAAGGAAACTATTATTACCGTTAAAAAGAACAGGAACAATTCTATAAGAAACCACTACCTACTAACTAAATTTTTTTTGAAACATGTTCATCTTTGATCTGAAGCCACTCAAATGAATTGTAATATTTGTATTGAATTGTTTTAAATTTAAACAAAGATTTCTACGCGCAGCTCGCCTGTATTGCCGCAACCCTGTACACACTTAGCGCTAAACTGCTCGAAAATCATGCATGATATGCATGATACTATGAATAACAAGATAGGATCTTCTCGTAGCCCAAAATCGGTCGTGTTCGCGCATGCCGTCATTGGAAAGTAGAATTTGAATTCTTGTTAAAGTTAAATGGGATTTGTATGGAATCTGTGATGAAATTACTAGACGAAAATAAGTTCACATAACTTCACGAACTTCAATAATTACAATAATTGAACACATAAGGATATCTCCAAACTATTTATTAAAGATTATTTATTGATATATACAAAAACTGACATTTCGAACGTGCAAGTCTCCAATGATGTCACGACTTATGCGCAATATCTTATCTTCGTATCATAGTATCATGGGTTTATGTTTTCATTGAGAGAGAAACCGTGTATATTTGCCAACATATTCTTACTTATACTTGAAAGTTTAAAGATTTTAAAGGTTTTTGTAGAATTATGATTAATTTAGTAGCTTTTTAGAAAAAATCATTAAGAGATTTTTCAATAAAAAATTGCAAATAACACGAAAAGAACGCATTTTTTGAAAAATTACCAAGAGAGAAAAGGTGTTTATTTCGATGAGACACACTTAAAAAATGATTTCTAGGTACCAAAAATAAACTTTAGAAACCTTAAGAGAGAGTATATGCTCTCTGCAGTCACTGATGATATATTTTCTCGACATGTGACTAAATTTGAAGTCACATTAAACCTAGAATAATTAAATTGTACTTTAATAAAACTGGATTTTTTATGTTAAATTAATTGTTCGTTGTTAGGTTGTCAAATGTTATCCTCGACGAAGCATTCGAACCAGTACAAGGATACTACGACCAATCACCTCTCGCAAGTTCAGTTGAACAGTGCCATTGTCCACCAAATTATCAAGGATTGTCTTGTGAAGAATGTTCTCGAGGATTTTATAGAATCCAATCTGGACCACATGGAGGTTTCTGTGTACCATGCGAGTGCCATGGTCATGCCGACGAGTGCGATGTTAATACTGGAGTTTGTTTGGTAAGGACGTTTAATATTAGATTTATGTTCATAGATTAGAACAAAACACTTACAATCTAGTTAAAATTAACCTATTTCTTCTTTGTAATTCAAAGAAGTAAAAATAAAAATTGTATTTTCAAAACTATTTCCGAAGTTAAAATCAAATAAAACGTATTTTCAGTTAAAATTGTTATTTATTCACATTAAATATACTTAGTACCAGGTGGTAAATTGGTAATTATAAGATCCAGAATTAAAAATGCTGTAGAAAGAATAGCATAGGTACAGTTGCGGTCACGGAATAGTTTACAGGTTCACGTATCTAGGAGCCCATTTTTTAAATTTTTACTTCGTTTAAACGCACCTTTTACGTCAAAGTGACGTTGCCAGTGGTGTACTAGCTAGAATAGGTAGATTAAAATTAAAATATCAAAATATTTTACAAAATGAAAAATATAGAAAACAGTTTTTTGAATAAAATGGATTATGATCTTAATAACGAAAATAAAGAAGTCTTTTTTTTTAATATGTATTTTATTTTAAATCTATGTTATATTAAATAACGATAAACAATGATAAATAATAATTAATATTTGGTGGAAGCCCCATTCTTGTCAATACAATTTTGCAGTCTTCTGTTCATAGATAGCACCAATCCCCTCATGTTATAGTTAACAAGCTCTTCCCATGCCTGCTCAATTGCTTCCCATAATTCAATTCTATTTCGTGGTCTAAGGTTTCTTTCATTTAGTTTCTTTGTTAACTCTGCCCACACATTTTCGACGGGGTTAAAGTCTGCACTACGGGAAGGCCACGGAAGAACATTAACATCAGTTTCTTCTAGCCATTCTCGAACAGTTCTACTCGTATGCACCGGGCAATTGTCATGTTGGAAGATAAAGTCGTTGTTGGGGAATCTCTGGATCACCGATGGCAACATTGTGTGCTCAATAATATGTTTGTAATATAATCCTGTTAAATTCTCCTCTACATGATAACAAACGCCCGGGCCTTCGGCACTTATCCATCCCCATACGTTGACAGAGAATCCTCCACTATTTCTTAAATGATGCGTATACTGTTCATCATACCTATGATTTCTCGGCCTATAAACTCTTATTCGACCATTATTACGACTGAAATACTTTTTCATCGGAAAATCATCACAACCCTAGACCAAAAATTCTCATCGCGGTTTATAAATTCATTACAAAATTCAACTCGTCTCCTCTTGTGATCCTCAGTCAAAAAAGGTTTCCGTGCAGCTACACAATTTAGCAGTCCACTTGCTTTAATTCTTCGACGTGCAGTGCGAATACTGCCTGGAAACGCTGCCTCTTCTCTTGCCTTTTGAGCTGTGGCAAAAGGAGATTCTCTCAAATAATCTACTAACATCTCATCCTGTTGATCTGTGGAAATCTTCTGCCCTCCTGAACCGCCCAACCGTGCTATAGAGTGAAAATTATCCCATCTTTGTTTAATCTTCCATATGCACATATGACTCACGTTCAAATCAGCAGCAACTTGCCTTAATGACCAACCTTCTTCGAGTTTGGCAATTGCTCTTGCTTTTTGCGCATAATTCAAATGTATTCTAACCATTTTGGAAGAGTTTAATATACTTTTATTTTATTGTTGAACACTCGCGAAAGCATTGACGTTTTGAAATTTTTTGACTTTGACATTTATCAAATCCGTACGACACTGCAATTTTACAGTATTACAATATAAAAAGTAAGGTGTAAACTATTCCGTGACCGCAACTGTACATAAAGTGCAATTGGGCTCGACATGTGGCGAGAATGAACGACGGTAACCTTGCTACGGACTCTTAGTTTATTTAGGGCACACACAGAATCCCATACTAGCTTAAAATTGACCTCTACAGAATTGAGTGCGTTAAGCAATGCCTGACTATCTGTGAAGATGGCAACTTAACGGAACGTTCTTTGCTGCCTTTCTATTTCTTCCACGCAGTGATTGATTGCCGTTATTTCCGCCTGGAAAACTGTCACATGCCAGCTCCCACGCCCTCTGATGTTTTTGAGCCATCCGTGTATCAGGTAGCAGCAGCTTGTATGTATACACCTTTTTTCCAGTTTTCCCCGCCTGGTATCTTATTATAACCTGGTAACTGGTAACTTATTATTGTTCTGAAGCTATATTCTTGTGGCATTGTAAATTAATTACTATTAAACTGGGAATAAGCCACAATTAAAGATAAAATTACGTTTATTGACGTTTCAATTTCCACTTCGGAAATCGTTCTCAAAATACAAACAGTAAATTAAACAAATTTTGTTTTTTGTTACATAGTGAAAAATTCTTCTAATAATTTAATTTTATCTGACTCATTTATATTGACAATTCAGACATACATTATGCATTTTAAAGTAGACGACTTTAAAATGATATTCGATTACATGAAATCAACTTTAACTTGAGAATATCCGTCAGAAAAAAAATCATAGCATGTAATTCGTCATTAAAAAGACAAACACATGACATGATGACAGTAAAATTCTCCTGTTAGTGATTCCATAGTAAATTATGAGGGAAAAACCAGGAAAAAAACCTCATAATACTATCCCGACATAGTAAGTATTTGTTCGTGAATTTAGTTTACCTTCAACAAACATCAAAATTCTGATTTTATATGTTACGTTATTTAAAAAACATAAATGATGTATCCTCTATATGTTACTGACTTACTAATACTGGTATTTTCTTATTAATAACTTCCTCTTTCAATATTGGTAACCAGATCCTACTACATTCTCCGAGGAATTTGCGACAGTAGTGATACAAGAAACGGATGGTAAAAAAAGAAAAATCAAAGAAGCGGCTCTAATTATGCTAAATGAGGCCAATTGTGTCGCAAATTCCTCGGCAGAATGTAGTAGGGTCTGGTTACCAATATTGAAAGAGGAAGTTATTAGTAAGAAAATACCAGTAGGTATTAGTAAGTCAGTAACATATAGAGGATACATCATTTATGTTTTTTAAATAACGTAACATATAAAATCAGAATTTTGATGTTTGTTGAAGGTAAACTAAATTCACGAACAAATACTTTATCAGTTCCTTCAGAATAGAAATTTTAAGCTATTTAAGTGTACAAAAAAAAAACAATTTAAATACTACTGAACGTGGAAATTTCGCTACCAAAACGACCACAAATGAGTTTGTAAATCAAAAGAATGTATTGATTATTTGGATCTTGCCATATAAGAGTAACTGTTAAATGTATAAAAGAACATTAATCATATTTTTTTTTCTAGAATTGTACCCACAATACAAAAGGAGACCACTGCGAGTTTTGTGAAACCGGCTATCATGGGAATGCGTTAGCTGGTACTCCAAAGGACTGTTTAATTTGCGCATGTCCACTGCCCATAACCAGTAACAAGTAAGTGTTGTGATAAAAATAATTTCAATTATTCAAATCATGAATGTGTTGCTTGTGTGAGTCCATTTCAAATAGGTAAAGAAATAATAAATAAGACTTACTCACAATCAATTTAGTTTAACTATCAGACGACCGGTTTCGCTTTCTACAATATGCAAAGCATCTTCAGGTCTCGATACAAAGTTAAATAAATGCTGAAATGATAAAAACCCATATTAGGGTGTTGTCTAATAAAGACAAACAAAGTAGATGTTGGAAATTACAATAATTATGCCAATATTACATGTCTGTGGTTTTATTTCAAAAAGAGTAAGTTGAATAAAAATATATAAAAGTTTTAAAGTTTAAACAGACAAGGTAAGGCCCACAAATTGTCATAAAATAGTCTATTAGATTGTAATAAATTAATAAATGAGCAAATAAATAAACATTACTTACATGCCGGTACTCTATTAATTGATGGTTGGTAGAACATGGTTGAAACTACTATGTATTGTTGAATGGAGAACTCAATTCTGCTATTGTAGTTGTATGACAGTAAACGGGAAGTTTTTGAGGAGGTAGATTTGATCCAATGAAGCAGAGATATGTGTATGCATGTTTGTTAAATGAAAGTGATGTAATATACTATTGTATTATTAAAAGTTATTTATACTTATTCGAGAGATATATTTATGAAATGTGTGTTATTTATTGAGTAATTGTTTTATGAAGGTGACAGTTTTATGACAATGAATAAGTTATAAAACTGTATTATGCAAACAATAAAATTGTTTGCATAATATATATTGACATAACGAAGCCTAGATGTAAACCAAGATGTCTATATGTTTTTTTGATTACAACAAAGCATTTGACAACGTGAGACATGAGTAACTTATACAACTTCTTAAAGGCAAAAACATAAGATTCCAAAAATATATGAATAATCACCAAACTCTACTATAACCCAAGAAGCTACAGTACAAATTGAAGAAAGATCAGCAGAATCTTCTTCTTTAAGTTACATGTATCGAAGGTTGGAAATCATCATGGCTATGCGGACCCTGTTGACTGCCGCTCTAAATAGTTCTGCACTACTGCATTTGAACCATTCAGTCAAGTTCTTAATCCACGATATTCTTCGTCTTCCCACATTTCGCTTTTCTCGAATTTTCTCCTTGCATAATAAGCTGCAATAATGAGTATTTTTGTCGTTTCATAGCATGGCACAAGTACTCAAGTTTTCTTCTTTTAGGCGTAGGCCTAACCTTATATACTGACAACAAAGAAACTCTTTAAGTTTAATGAGTGATGCACGTGCTATTTCATTACGTGTCTTAATTTCTTTGGTTTGGTATTCACGACAGCATTCATTAAGTCGTTGCATTACGTTCTGTAAATCATTGTGGTTATCCGTTATTATTACTGTACCGTCTGCAAAACGCAAGTTATTCAAAACTTCTCCATTGATAGATATACCTTCTATTGAATCTTCTTTCTATCAACAGAATATATAAACCTAAAAAGAGGGGGTCAGACGAGATAGTATTCTATCACTAACTCCATTTAACCTATACGCAGACTTCATAATTAAGAAGGCGTTTGAAAACGATAATATTGGTATCAAAGTGAAGGGAATTCCGATTAACGATATTATTGTTGCACATTGCAGAAAATCTCAACGATTTACAAAAGTAATAACAAAAATATTTCTTGGCTTCGAAATTTAAGTGCAAAGTCATGATTTTTTGTTACCTACCTATCTACGTTATTTTTCTTTACTAGAATATTTTTTTATATATTTTTATTTAACATAAACCTTGATGAAATTTGAGAAATGATGGGAAAAATATTATTGTTTTTTTTTTCTATAAATTATTTCGAAATTTAATATTTATTTTTGAATGTAATTCTAATTCAATTCTTTCAGTTTTGCTAATTCTTGTGATCTGAGTTCCGATGGAGAAAAGATAAGTTGTCAGTGTCAAGAGGGCTATCTTGGAGCAAGATGCAATCACTGTTCCCCCGGTTTTTATGGAAGGCCAGAAGTGCAAGGTAGGGAGAAATATAAATGTTATTAACGTTAATATAATATACTGCATTATATGTTATAACTTTTTTGTACACTAATTCCTAAAAATTTAGAGCTGAGGTCATCACAAAATACATACATCGAGCGCAAATGTGCGCTTACCTTTTTTCTTATATTAGACACGCCATTTTGACAAAAGAAGTTATTAATAATACCAAAATTTAATTGTTTTCGAAATACCAACAGTTTAGTAATCAGCTGCATAATTATTATGTAATATATTATTCTTGTTTCCTGAAATTTGAAAAATAGCAGTTCCTCCGCTGACTGTACTATTTCAAACAATAATATACAGGGTCTGGCACAAAGGACCGGACTGTTGGGCTTGTCGGGCTGAAGACAAGATGGCGGAACACATTCTGTGCTACTGCTCAGGCTTAAATAGGATAATATACATTTAAATATTATCAAGTCCAGCCTTACAACTTCGTGGAAGTGTCACCAAAGGCTATAATAAACTTTGTTACAAAGGCTGGGCTGAAAGGACAACTTAAACCTAGGGATGAGCCACAGTAGACCTCTTAGATTGAGTGGAAGGTTTATGCGGCCACTCATATTAAACCTAACCTTAACCCAAGTTTTTGTCTGTATCATTTTCTATAATTGGCTGGATGACCTTCTCCACAGTGAATAAGTTTTGACTAGGAATTATTAGTTATTTCCGTTCTTTTGTATATTTTATCAACATGTAGTTGAATTAACACCGCTATTTTGTCGTATTATTTGCATAATCGGTCATTTCAGTTATCATACCTGATACATCAACAATATCAGATATCATTTATTCAATAAATTAGTTTTTTAACCAATACTAACAAAACACAATATCGTAAAATAAGTAATACTTTAATATTTTATACTACAACTATAGTTGAATTCTGCTTGTTGTAAACTCATATGTGTTTTAGGTGATTACTGCAAGCCATGCCAGTGTTCAGGCAACATTAATCCAAATGATCCACAATCTTGTGATACAGTTACTGGAGCCTGTCTGCGGTGTCTCAATAACACATACGGTGAGCAATGCGGCGAGTGTGCTCCAAGCTTTTTTGGAGATGCTGTCAACCTGAAGGACTGTCAACGTAAGTACATCCATAACATTTCTTACTTTTTGTATAATATTTTGTCATGGTTTTTTCCAGCTTGTATCTGCGATGATCTTGGTACCGACCTATGCGACAGCACGACTGGTAGATGCGTCTGCAAACCCAATGTCGTCGGCGAAAAGTGTGACCGATGCGAAATCGAACATTTTGGTTTCCAAAGCGGTAGAGGATGTACTCCTTGTAAATGTGGAGAGGCATCGGATAGTGACCAATGCGACGACGTTACAGGACAATGCAAATGTAAACCGGGAGTTACTGGAAGGACTTGCGATAGGTGCGCTGCAGGATTTTGGAACTACACCACGGAAGGCTGTACATGTAAGTTATATTTATTGTATTTACGTTAACATTTGATAACAAGGTTTTTTTATTGGTATGATTCACAAAAAGAATATATTATCAAAATTAGGTGACATTCGAGCTGTAAAAAGTCGCAAATACGTCAGTTTCAGTTTTTAGTACAATTTCTACTATTAAGAAATCAATATAAATAGGTTCATGAGATAGCTGCAAGTACAATATAACTACAGATACATAGACCAAACTCCTTACAAACTTATTTAAAGGGAATTAATGCAAAGCACAAATGTTAACATTCAGCGTTGTTGACCAATATGTGCATTTAAGGAACTTAATAAATAGTTTCGTTGGAAAGTAATAAAACAAATATCAGCAATTATAAAAATCATGATGTCTAAATTGACACAGCTTTTGAAAAACTATGAAATATTCGATGACGTCAAGATCAGATTCGTAAGGAGTTTGTTTTTCCAAGTTTTCCTTGTGCCGAGTACTTAGGAGAAAGAAGAAAAGCTCATAGACGTGTCCAGATGTTCCGTTGGAGAAAAGCTTAGAATTACCTGGGTGGCCCGAAGAACAAATAATTCAATCTAAGACAATTAAACAAAAAATACTAAGAATACAAGTAACAACAAATACTAAGTTATTTCTGTCACGGTTTTGCAAATGTAAACCGGGAGACACACAGTTTTCGATGGAGAAGATTGAGATGCCTACCATGATGTGAAAGGTCTGATATAAGAGTGGTCATCTCCTACAAAGTAATCAAGCTACACAAAATTGTTGTCACTTTTGTTATTTGGCCGCAATATATTAACGATTAAAAAGAAAAAAAATACAATCCAAGTAAATTAGTCCACTTTTAAAGTATATAAACCATTCTTCTACAATGAAAGAAATAAAAAAATTTTAATTAAATCTCAAGATCTGAAGATTTGCACAACAGAGAAAATAATATATTTTTCTTTGATTATATACTGATTTTACAAAAAATTTGTTTTTAATGTTAATTTTTTATAACCGTATTTTAGCTTGTGGCTGCAAAACGGAATATTCTCTAGGATTCGGTTGCAATGCCCTCACTGGACAGTGTGAATGTCTTGAAGGAGTCATTGGAGAAAAATGCGACCAATGTCCTCATCGATGGGCTTTTGAACAAAACTTTGGTTGCCATCAATGCGACAGTTGCCATCATGCCCTTTTGGACGATACCGATCAATTAGCAGCTACAATTGATCCTGTTATATTTGATTTTGACGTAAGTTAAAGCCAAACAAGATAGTTCGTAATTGTATACGCAAAATTGTATTTTTAGTCTATACAGTCGGGATACTTTACTAGGAGAAGATTGGAAAGCATGCGAGAACATTTGGATAAACTAAAACCAAAATTCGATGAAATTAATCCCAGCCAAACTAGCCTGAACAGTACAATCCAAGAACTCGAGGTATTAGAACAGGATTCCAAAAATTTAAATAGAAAAGTAAGTAAATATATAAACAATCTTTCACTTTATATTGCATCTATAATTATATTACTTTCAAATGGTTTGATGCTTGTAGAGTATTTGTATTTTCACCAGTATAGCTTACTATATGTAGTTAAGTTAGTCGTAAGGTAGGCTGCCACCTTGGGACCTTTCAATCTGTCACGTTTTCCATATTAGTTTTCTATGTCTTAGCCCAGGGGTTCCCAACTAAATTTTTCCAAGGACTCCTTCATCAAGGTACTACAATGACGAGGACACCCACTATTTCCTAAAGACCTAAACAAACGTAAAGTTACCTGAAAAGAGCCAAAATATGTGAAACCATAAATCAAACTAATGCTATTTAGGATTTATTTGTGAAAATACAGAGTACCTACACAAGTTCATTATTAGTTTTAATTTTCGCTCCTCAATTAATGAGATACGTTGAATTTAACCTTAGAATCCGTTATTTCTGTAATGTTAGGTTCCAAACTTGAAAATTTCACTCTGAAATCCGACTGCATGTCTAAGCATGACTAAGCCGATTCCCATATTTGTTTTTCATGAAGCACATGGAAGAAAATGCTTGCTCAGACCGATAGATTGTTGCAAACGGAAGGATTTTTTTCATGGTCTACAAGTTTTTTGTAATCCTTGCGTGCTGTTGCTCAGAAGTCTGCTATTTTCTCACCATTAAAAATGTTCTTCATCGTACCACAACTCAACAAATCCACAAGCTTATCTTGTTCTTCTTCTGTGAGGCCTTGGATTTGTTCAATTGCTTGACAGCTGAAAAGATTTCGAATCCAATCATCGTCAGCGTAAGGTTCAGGGAAGTGTATTCTAAAAGTCGTGGCTAGGCTGCGTTGATCTTTATTGGGTCACGTTAACTCAGCTCTGCAGACTCCAAGAACTGTTTCAAATTAGGAAATTTAGTGAACCACTCGCTTTCAATCCTTGACGCTCACAGCTGGCACTTTTTTGCCATAGCACTGATATTATCTTCAACTTTAAACATGTCTACATTTTTTCCTTGCAAACTTAAGTTTAATACATTCAAGTGTTCAAACACGTCAGCTAAGTAGGCAGTTGAGCAAAGCCAAGAAAAGTCAGTGAGAATATCTGCGTACTTGGTGTCAAGAAGAAAAACACGAACTTCATCTCAAGATCAAAGAATCTTATCAATATCCTCCCTCGAGAGAGCCAACTTACTTTCGTATGAATAAGAAGGTGTTCATGCTTACTTCCAATCTCTTTGCTTGCACAACAAAGAAAATAATCTGGATTGCAGAGGTCGAGTTTTAATGTAGTGAACCACGGTCCATAACGTAAGCCTAATGTAATTTTCCGGGTAACCAAAGCTTTAAAATGTTGCACAAAATCACACGTTTCAACACGGTCAGGGACCTCACTAGAAATGAACCAACTAACTTACTAAAAATAGCCGACTGACATCTCTGAAATGCGAATTAGCTGTGTAACTATACAGTAGAACCCCTCTAATCCGTCACCCTCGGGACTAGCAGTATGGTCGGAACGCAAGAAAGGTTGGATTATCAGAAAAAGTCATTGTGTATGACGTATGTATGTGTTTTTAAAAAACGACTGTATTATTCTCTACAGTGATATAATAAATAATTATATTTCAATAAAATACAAGAAAGCTTTTGTTTGTACATTATTTATTAAATATGTATGTAAATATATAATGTCAAAAAAGGTAGCATAAAAACTAGTGCTTATCTATGTAGGCCTACTTAGTAAAAAAATCAGTAATAGATTTTTATTTACAAGATGAAATTCTGGATTTAGCTGCAATGTTCCTCCATTTTTTCATCCACACGATGTCCATCGGTGTTGATGCTGAGTTCTGCTCAATGTACTGAAGGCCAATTTCAAAAGCATTCTTGGCATCGGTGTGTGAAATCCGGACAGGAGGCTCATCATCATCATCACTGTCGGATTCTGAGTTCACGATTCCGTCACCGTCACGTTCCATAACAGCGGCAACAATTTCGTTATCGTTCAGCACTTCACTGGTTTCGTAGTTTTTGTCACATTGTTCAATCCACTCCTCAACTTCACTAGCAGGTATATTTGCATCCAGGGTCTGAAGATTGGTAACGATTTCCTGCACGTCGTTTTGCTCATCTTCGACCTGGTCAATTTCGATCATAACTTCTGGCCAAAGCTTACGCCAAGATTTTCTTAGCGTTTCAGGATTTAGTTCTGCCCAAGACTCAGCCATTGTATAGATAGCATTTTTAATGTTGAGTGATTTCATGGCTTGGAAAATATCACATCCTTCTTCGGATTTTTCTAAAATCGAGCTTATGTATTTTCGGCGATAACGCCTTTTAAAACATTCTATCACGCCCTGGTCCATAGGCTGGATAAGTGATGTGACATTTGGTGGGAGGAAGATAGCTTTTATATCCCCTTTTACTAAATCTTCCTCAGAAGGGTGCGATGGTGCGTTGTCTAATAGCAGTAGAGCTCGAACAGGAAGATTTTTTTTCGTCAAGTCCTTCTCAACACATGGCACAAACTCGTCAAAAAACCAAGATTTAAAAAGATTGCAGTCCATCCAAGCAGATTTTTGGTTGCGATAATAAACCGGCACGGATGATAAGTTTATGTTTTTGAAAGCCCTGGGCTTCTTAGATTTGCCTATGACAAACAGCGAAAGCTTGTGTGTTCCATCAGCATTGCTACAAGGAGCAACAGATAGCCTATCTTTGATGAGTTTCGTTCCCGCTACGGTTTCATTTGACGCACTTAAGGTTTTGTTTGGAAGCATTTTATAGTTTAGGCCTGTCTCGTCTGTTATAGACTTGGCAAGGTAACAGTTCATTTTCTTTTACAATTTGTTGAAACTTCACAGAAAACTCCTTAGCCGCCTCGACGTCAGCAGATAATTTTTCACCACAAATTGAGACAAACCGGATACCATGACGGGTTTTCCAACGATCAATCCAGCCTCCACTGGCTTTAAATTCACTTCCGACTTCTAGTTTTTTGTGCAAAATTATTGCCTTTTCTTTTATAATTGGGCCAGATATCGGAGTTCCCTTCCTTCTTTCTTGACTGAACCACATCCATAGAGCACTATCAAGCAGTTCAAGTTTAGGCTTTTTAAGAGCGTTTTCTCCATCTACTATCGTCATTGTATGTGATTCAATTTCTTTTAGATTTTTTCTCCAATCCTTAATAGTCGTAACGCCTACATTCAGTTCCTTGGCAATTTTTTGTAGTGATTCACCTTTGTCCAGCCTTTGAAGCACTGCAAGTTTTTCACTTAACGAACGCGTAACGTGTTTACGTTTTGCTCCTGACATGTTGAAAATAATGTACACACTTTAACTCACAAAGTTCGAAATAATACTGACAGAATGGATTGTAATTTTCGGAGAAATTTTCGTCGTAAACAAATCGACCGCCGGGGATTTCCGCGAAGCCAAGCAGGTCGGATTACCCGGAGCGTCGGACTATCCGAGGGCGGACGAGAGGGGTTCTACTGTAATGCAAAAACAGACAGTGACTGACACATTTTAACGGCATAAAACCAAAATAGGGTCTCATCTAGTTCCAGTGCCAGTGGTGGTGAAGAGGGGAGGCCGAATCTGTCTACACGAAAATATTTTTTTAGATATATAAACAGAATTATAGTAAATAATCTATAATTTGATATAACTTTAAGTTTGCGCAATATATGTTATTAATTTTAAAGATTTAGAGAGAAAAACTTCGTCTTCGATCTCTTAAAAAAATTTGCAAATTGGACTTATATCGTTTTTCTCCCTGGCTCTTCATATATTTATTTTTTTATCTAGCGAACCCCTCAGCCATACCTCGCGGACCCCCAGTGGTCCACTACCAGTTGGGAACCACTGTCCTAGCCAATATGTTCCCGTTACTTCACCATCTCTCTTCATATACGCAGTGGATTCACTGCTTATCAGGCACTGAACCTTAATTATCTGAGAGTAGGATTGGTTGGCAGAGCTGGATTCTATTTCTAGAACCACCGACTAATTTGTCGGGATCATTGGACATTGCTCAGAGTTTTGTTACAGATTGAATTACAGAGTGTAATCTGCATTTCTTTCAAGCTCCATTATCATACTTTAACGCATTTTTGTAAAAAAACAATAATGTATTTTTAATTGTTTCAAATATTAAATGATAAAATCAAACTCATTATTTACATATACATTTATTAACTGCAATCTTGATGTTAATTGTATAATATTACTTATTTATAGTCTAACTACTCCTTGGAAAATAGCGAGAAATTTAAAAATCAATCCGAAAAGTTGAAAGATACATTAGAAGAATTGGTAGACGAGATATCACAAGTAGAAGAAGATGCTATTAGAACAGCTGAGGGTATTGACAAGATATTTACTGAGTTGCACGAGCAAGCAGGTAAGTAGAGACGTAAACATCCTTTACTCCAAAATCAATTTACTTGGACCAGGATCAGTTTCCATACCTGACTATTTTTTTTTAGTTTTCCATATTGCCACTCCTAATGTTCTTAGTTATTCCTACACTTGATCATTAAACTTTGTTCCAAGTCACCTCTGGTCCCTACCAGAGCGCTCTGAAGAGCACTTTTCTCTGAGCGCACTCTGATTGAATTTTATTTTATGTTTTTTAAAGGTAATGAAGTTGAAAAGGCTCTTAATGAAGGCCAGGCTATCTTTGATGTTATGAAAGAGTACAATCTGACTCAAAAAGACGCCAACGCTAATGCCTCACTCAAAAAAGTTGAGGATATTTTGAAAAATGTGACCGATTTTAAACTCCCTGTGGAAAATCTCAAAAAAGAAGTAAAAGAAGTCGAAGATAATTTGAAAAAGTTCTATAAGAAATTAGATAGTTTGTATAATCATACTCAGTTTTCGCTGAATATGGCGAAAGAAGCCGAGGACATTATGGGAAAAATTGGGTAAGTTCATATATATTATTGAGATTTTTAACCTTTATTCACTGAATATTGTTAAATTAAAAAATAGTGAAAAATATTTCAATGAAAAATTAAAGGTAAGTAAAAGGTAATATTGACCCCCTTCCCCAGAAATAAATATTTTTTTTCTTTTAAATGTACAAAAATTTGGAATTGTGTACATTAAAACTTTAGATGTTAAAACTTTTGTGTACATTATAATCCAATATTTTTTAACACGTCTAAAAGTTTCAGGAGTGTTCTTTTGGTAAGTTGTAGCATATTTATTTAAGTAATATTAAGTGAAATTAAATAAATAAAATAAATAAATAAATAAATAAAATAAAAATATAAAAAATTACATGACTTTTGTAGATCTTGAGAAGGCATATGACACAGTCCCGCTAAATAAACTATTGGGAATTCCTGGGCACATCAAACATACATCAAACATTGGTTAGTGCTCTCAAAGATCTATATTATGGTTCAAACTCCCAAATGAAATTCGGAAACCTCTTAGCTGAAAAATTTGCAGTTACTAAGGGTCTCAGACAAGGATGTTGTATCTCTCCGACTCTATTTAAGATTTATATCTCTGCAGCTCTGAAACAATGGAAAAGGAAAGTCAAAGGAATGGGTATACAATTGAACGATCAGGATTACATATACACTTTACAGTTTGCAGATGATCAGGTGGTGATCTCAAATGCCAAAGACGACATGGAATACATGCTTAGAAAACTAATTGAAGAATACCAGAAATGGGGATTAAATATCAATTTAGAAAAGACAAAATACCTCTCAATTGGAGCTGAAGCAGACCAACTCGATATCGATGACAATCAAAAAATAAATCCATGCAACGAATATAAATACCTGGTCGTCATCTTCGACCGTAGTGGAAAAGACGAACGAGAAATAGAACATCGAATTGTACAAGCGCGAAGAGCTATAGCATGTTTGAACGGAGTTCTATGGAGTAAAGAAATATCAAAGAAAAGAAAATGGAACATCTATGAGACAATGGTTAAAACTAGAATACTTTATGGAGTTGAGACATGGAGAATAACCGAGAAATATAAGAAAAAGGTCGAAGCCACGGAAATGGATGCCATCAGAAGATCGTTGAGAATATCAAGAGCCGACAGAATACGGAATGAAGTGATAAAACAACAAATGTGTATAGAGGGCTCTATAGTTGAGGATATTGAGAGAAAACAGCTCATATGTTATGGGCAGGTGAGCCGAATTGGGGACGAAAGATTGCCTAAAAAAACGATGATGTGGCAACCCCCAGAGAAGAGGAAACGAGGAAGACCACCACAAAGCTGGAACCTGGGAGTTAGGAAAGCGATTAGCGCTCGAAATCTGGACGAAGACCTAACTCAAGACAGAATACAGTGGCGTTTGGGAGTCGGACAACGTCGTAAGACGTTATTCTTCTTCTTCTTAAGGTGCCGTGCATTTCTGCGTAGGCGTCCACCGTACATCGTCTTGTCAGGTGAGATGTTAAATATTCTGGATTAAATAATTCTGTTTTTAGCAGCATTGCGAAGCATTTCATAGCTGTGGATTCCTGTCCATTGTCGAATATTGCGCAGCCATGACATTTTTTTACGTCCGAGACCTCTCCTACCCTCTATAAAGACGTTATAAAAGCGAATATATATATATATATATATATATATATATATATTATATATATATATATATATATATATATATATATATATATATATATTATATATATATAAAAGGGTTACCGTCAAATAAGTATTTATCAGGAAATAACTGTAAACATTGTTTCATTGAAACGTTGTTTCATTAAAGTACAACAAGAAATTAAGGAGGGTAACTACTAATACTAAGTAATATGCGTTCCTTTACAATAATAACAAACTTATTCTCGATGCCTTTTAGCAAATTAAAATTTGGTTAGCATAAATTGTACCAGTCCTTGATTGTTTAAGAAATTTAACACAAATATAGTAGGGTCACATTATCCCTGCTGCAGCCCAAATTAATTCAATTGCACATTGACGATATTTTTCACGGTGCTGCTTGATTATTGCCATTATTTCTGCTTTAACCATATTCCCTGCTAATATAGGCGACAAATAGATGCTGGCACTTACCTGACGGTGCACGCATTCCTGTCGAGAAACCTTTAACAAACACTTGCCAAGTATTTCGTACTATTTTTTCTTGCCGAACTTTGAAAACTGTATGTCTGACACAAGTCTCGTCAAGGTAATAAATTTTCGCCATGATCGTGTCAAGATCATAATGTTTTTCGTGATTTCTCAATATAGAAAAATGGTCATAGAAAAAATATAGAAAGTTGGAGCACTATATTACTGGAAAACTTAAAAGGATAGGGAATAAGTTTAACATTTCAATAACATTCAAAACAACAAACACATTGAGATCTATTTTATCTAATGAACAAGAAAGAACAAAAAATTGTATTTATAAAATACCTTGTGAATGCGAACATTTTTATTAATTTGAAACATCAAGATTAAATGTTAGAATTAATGAACAGTAATCTTATATAAAAAATAGAGAATTTGATAGATCTCAAATATCGTCCATACCATTTCCAACTATCGAATGTGAAAAGTGGTACTTTTCAGGAGGAGAAGATATCTCTTTTTAGAAAACCCTAAATTGGCGCCGTGACAAATGGAAAAAGTTTTATATTTTTTATATTCAATGTTTAATACTTATTAGATTTATAAAAAATTAAAATGCTTACCGTTTTTTTCTTTCCAAAAAATCACATTTGTTACTTTGGTTTTTGTGTTAATCAACGATTTTTTTGGTCCAATATTTCAAAATTACGAATGTGGCATTTTCGACAGTTGATATTGGTATAATTTTAACACATTTATTTGGTGCAACGTTTCAAAATTGCGAATGTGGCATTTTCGACAGCTCATACTAGTCTAACTAATTTTAACATATTCATATTCTTAATTGAAAAGGAGGAAAATTAAAATAATTTTAATGTTCTTAAAGAGTTTATTACAAACCATTTATTCAAAATTGAAGTTGTAGGATAAAATGATAAAATTATGTTTAAAGAAATTATTAAAAGTATGTTTATAAAAGTATGTATTGCTAGGAAATTAATGTAATTAGAAACGTAAAAAACATTAATTATGGAACTTCATGTCCTGTAGATACCTCAAGTATCTACTATCTAAGTTTGCCCCTTTTATCTCCTTTAGTATAGTCTTATGCAACTTTTTGTATTCGTTGTCATGTCTACCTTTTAATTTTAGGCTGTGTTACTCCAACACCTGCACCTTTTCTGACTGACTTCACTTCACTAAAGAATTTCCTTATTTGATTCCTCTTGTCACTTCTGTCCATTTCCCGGATTTGCTGTTCTAGGTAGTTTACTCTTTTTAGTTCTGAATAGTCGCCTTGTTTGTGCTCTTGTTCTGTTAAAATCTGCTTTGTTCTCATCTGTGAGGTCTTGTAGCATTTTCAATCTTTTTTCATTTTAATTTCGAGAATTTCTTCGCAAGTTTTATCAAACCATTGCATTTCCGTTTTGGGCAAGTCCTCTTTTTGCCAATGGTTTCCTTGGCTGCTTGTTCTATAACTGATGCCACTTACTGCCATGCTTGTTCTAACTCTACATTATGCTCTTCCTTTCCCAGCAATTGGAATCTGTTGCTTATTGTCACTTGATAATCCAGTTCCTTATTTGGTGTTTGTAGGGCATCTATATTCCATATTTCTCTTTTTTCTTGTTGTTCCCGTTTCTGTATTGATAATAGCGTTCTTAAGTTAGATTTCAACAGTAAGTGATCGCTATCGCTGTCGGCTCCTCTCATACTTCGCGAATTTAAAATGCTATTTGATTTCGTGCTCTTCCATCATTTGAAACATATGTGACCTTGTAAATGTCCTTGTTGACATGGCTCCTTGAAGGTTGAGATATGTAAATGAAATTTGTTTAGTTTTAAGAGGTAGTTATTGTGAATTTTTTCCATACCATTAAGATTTTTTTATTCATCATTGGTGCGAAAACTCCAATATATGTAGGTATAAGACGGCACGTTTCCAAATTCATGATTTTGAAAAATGTACTAAAAACCGACATTTTGAAGCTCTATAACAGAAATAATTGATTTCTGAGTCTCTATTATGAATCTTTCCTCACATGGAATATCTCTAAGCATGTCTCCTAAATGATCATATAAATCTGTTCTTTCATTCTCACCTGACTGATACATACACACACGAACAATTCTTTATCACATAAAAATTTCACTGACATTATCCTATCACTCATCCTTACAACTTCTAAATTCTGCTTTAATCTATCTATCAGCAATTACACCAACTCCATTCATACTGTTACTTTTTACTATATATCACAGTTTGTATCCTTCATCCAACTCTTTCATCCTTTCCACTTTGTCTCTTGAATACAAGCAATCTGTACTCTCCTTCTGTTAAGGCAATCCACCAACTCCATATTTTTATTTTCACACGGAAATCCGAACGAAGGCTCTGCTGGCTTCCGAAAGTTTTGCCTCAGTAGATGCCCATCATTTTAGTATAATTTTTGTTAGATTGGAGATTCCAAATGAATTTTCTATCAGCATCATGTTTTGCATGATTTAGTCAACACACCAACAATGCAATGAAAAAGGGCATTATCACTGCTTAAATTTGTTATATAGGCCATAATCACTACTTAAGAATATAGAATATTTCAATGTCTTCAAAAGTTGTGTGTGGCTATTCTCAATTCTGTCATTTATGTTTTCTTTTTCTTGCTCACATTCATGTATTTTGTTTTATTTTCAGTCCTCTCAGTTTGGTTTCGGTTTCTAATTCTTTGAAGGTTTTCTTTAATGATATCTGTTGCTACTATGGTTATATAGTCTGCATATCCTATTATTTGTACTGCATTCTTGTTTATAGTTCCTGTGTTTGACAGCTTTTTTATTATCTTGTCTAGAGATAGAATGAATAGGACC